TCGGATATGGCAAACTCGATTACCAAATCGATGATAGTGGAACAGATATTTCATATATAATGCCATTGACATACATCTGTACATAGTTCAGCGTATCGAAAGACAGCGGCTACACTGGCTAGATCATATGGTCTGAATGGGTGAAATACTCAATCATTGAAATTTTCCGATTAAGATAGCTCACAACCTTACTTACGTGTCACCCGAGTGGGAAATGACATCGTCGCTGAAGAGTTTTGTTCGGAAAATCACTGTCCACTATTTGTTATTCAAGCCTTCAATTGACGCTGACTTCAGTTGTTTCAAACAAAATTCGGGTCTTCAGCTACACTTTAATGCACAGGTCTAACATGATCTTTTACCAAAAAATTTTCAAAAATTCTAACGCTTTTCGCGGGTTCACTAAAAAAACATATTTAAAAAGTTAAGTTTAATGGCTCTGTTCCTTTTAAAGCAAGAAATGGATCGTTTAAATTATTTTGTGCTGGAACTGCGCGGTTTTTGAAGTTGACGATTAATAAATAGATTCCTATCTTGAGATACCATATCGTGCTGGCTTAGGACAAGTCCCTTACCTTTTTAATAATAAACGTGTCATCGAATTAAAAGTTTAGATTTGAGGTAGTGGAAAGAATCAGCATAACTTTACTTAAATTAGCATCAAAGACCGGTGCAGGGGAGACTGGGATTCTGTTCAGAAGGCCAAATCAGAATTCGATGCTAGAATCTCAAGTGTTTGTCTCAGTAAGTCCCTAAGGGGCTCCACATAAACGCAGTTGATTTGTTGACGTTCAATTCACTGGCAACCTCTTCCGTCGAAATACGTGAGTTATTCGCAACTAAAGTCCTTCGAACATCGTCATCAAGCTCAGAAGGCCGTCCACTGCGAGGTTGATCTTCGAGGTTAAAATCTCCAGGACGAAATTTCGCGAACCATTTCTTTACTGTGCGGAGTGCTGGAGCACGTTCCAAATAAACTTCGCGCATATCTTTAGTTGCAGCGCCTACTGTTTTTCCTTTGCGGAGAATTCGTATAACATAATATGACGCATATGATCTTTTTCGTTGTCCATCTTCCATGCGTCTTTTCACTAAGCAACTCAAATCAAAATGAAGTTATTTTATGCTTGATTTACAGTTCGGACTGTTACCTTTCCAACGATGTAAAATATGTATATATTTCTTTCACGATCGCCACTCTCAAACGACTCGAACGGCATCCAGCGGAATCGGGCACGAACTTATGCACTCATCCAATACAAAAAAAGTCTTAATCTTAGCATGGCGTACTGATATCCAAAAGTTATTGAAAAACAATTTAAATAAAAAATTAAAATAAATTTTCTAATTGCGCTCGTCTCTCGGCAGGGAATGTCTATTCCGCCGAATGTATTTCGGACATGAAATAAAGCTCCTCATAAGAAAAAAACCATCATCAGTTCGGAGGCGGCTTAGTATTGAATGCAGATCCCTTCAGTTTATGGAAAAACATCAAGACGCAAAACCACAAATTGGAGGAGGAGCTTGGCCAAAAATCGTTTAAGCGGTTACAATTATATATATATTTAGCCCATACATATATTTTTGTAAGGCGGAGTTTCAGTTCATTTATAATTGTCATAAATTAAGTAAATTTAAAGTTATTTCATGAAAATTCTGAATAAACGTCTCCAAACGTTAATTTATTTCATGAGACACAGAATTTTGAAGAAACTTGAAAGCGTCTTTCATGCTCACTTTTTACAAACGAAGCTTTCTAAATAATCCCACAATTTTAAAACACCTCTTTAAGCGTGAAAGCTTGTGTTTAACCAAGTGGAAAAAACATGTGAAATTATGCTTCAATTCATTTTATCTTAGTAAAATCAAAAATGTTTATGAATGAATATGAAGAAGGCAATCTGTGACAGATATTTTTTTGTTTTCAAGGTGAAAGCGTCAATATTTATGAAGGCTTAAGCACATACATACATATGTAGATGGATTTGTATATGTAAAATTTCTGTATTTTCAAGAAGTAGTAAATTATGGATTTTTTTTAATAAAATATCTCTATGCTTTCGCCTTGAGGCTATACCCGTCGTTCCAAACCTCTCTTTTTCTGTCTCTCTTTCACTCTCCCCCATTTCATTTGTAATTCTCGAATAAGCAAATTGACTATGACAATAAATGAAATGCCTGAATCCATGGAGAAAAATAATAAATAAAGGGATCTTTGTAGTTGTAAAGAAATATATAAAAATATATTTATATATATATATACCTACATCCTTTAAATATAAAATTTGTTAGTCTGCTGCTGAAGCTCTCTTACTGGCAGGCATTCGTAGGAACACTAATGATGCCTCAGACAAAACAGTGACGACAAAAGACAACAATGAAGGTAATCAAAACATTGTGACAGATGCTTACTTGCAATATGTCGAAAATACAAAAGGAAATGGGGAAAAAAATGATTTGAAACATCAAGTAAGCAGCAATGGGAAAATGCAAAGAAGAAAGCAAAAACCAAACAAACAGTTTGAGCACGAAATCACAAATAAAATTCAAATATGGAAGGGGGGAAAAATTAAACAAAAACAAATCAGCCAAGTGAAATACCAAAGAATCTTCAAAATATCAACAAAAAAGGTTCATAAATTAAAGTCAAATTGATAAGAAAAAATTTTGGCAGGACTGAGGCTGAGCCTGGGTCTAAATTGAATTGCGTAAGTGCTTTGAGTTAAATGTTAATGGATTTGAGAGGAGACATTTTTTGGGGAATAATTTAGTTAGTTAGTTAGTTTAACAAGTTGCATGGTCATGGAACGCTGATCAGACGCAGCGTTTTGATACCTATGTCGGTCCTGTTAGGGAGATACCTTTCCTCTTTTCAAATTTTCAAATCATTTGGTGTGTTTTAAGAAATTCAGTAGATTAGTGCCTACCGACCCAATCGAAAAATAAATTTCCGCGAAAGCTATAGCAGACCGATGGGAGAGCTGAGCAGTGACATGTAATGTTCCAGCGGTTCCTCCCTCGTTTGAAAAACAGCCCATTCATCTGCCAGAAGTCCCCATAAGACAGAGTTTGATTATTATGCTGGTTGTTATGCTGACGATGGTCTGCTTTAGAAGGAGTAGAGACTTAGTTCTATTTATCTCGTTTAATGGCCAGAGTTACCCACCTCTCGCTCAACCGACCTATGTGGGCGTCGGAAGGATAATCAAAAAATGCTACAGTGTTGCCATATTACATGTGGTTTTGCTATGTCAGCTGCTGTTGGCCTTTCTGGTGAAGGTTAGCCTTTGCGGATACCTTGCTGAGCATAGCGGTATGTCTACGTGCAGACCATATCGTGTTTATGACTTTTTCTGGTCAGTTTCTTGGCTACGCAGTTCTCTGGTATAGTGTATAGTTCCACGTCCAGCTACCCAAATCTTGGATATCTCGTATACAGTGCATAACGGAATAAATGTAAGTCAGAAGAAGAATACGGCGGGTGGGGCAAGACTTTCCATATAGTCGCTCTTGATATCGTGGCCGCTTTTCTTTTAGCGCGCGACTAAGGCCCATCAGTTGTGTTCGGTAGCGATCTCCTGTGATTATTTCACCCGGTTTGAAGAAGTTTTTGAAACTTTCTAAAACGTTAAAACCACTCCCGACATGTACTTTCACTCAGAGCAGCATCAGCGTAAGTTTCTGAGAGCATTCGATGCACTTCAGCTGAATTTTTTTTCGAATTGTAGCAGAAAAGTAAAACTTCCCGCAAATGGCGAGAATTGGGCACATAAACGGACATTTTCGAGGGTGAATAATACGAAAACAAGAACAACTGTCACTGAAACGGCGATGACAATTCGTTAGGCACTGTCCACACTCACTTTAAAGGCATTATCATCTATGTATTTCAACCAGCCTCAGCCAGTACAGCCACCTATTGGAAAACGGCGGAAGCAAAGTTGTACACCTGATACCTTATTACCCACCGCATGGTAGCCCGCGCTGCTATCGACTCAGCAACTGCGGTCGTACCAATGATAAAAACTAGGGCGCAGAGCAATGGAAACTTTTTAGTAGATCTGCATTATGCTTTTTCTCTCCATAAAGAGATCTCTATTAAATATTCCGTCCTGAAATTTCGCCTTCATTTCAAGTTTGAGATGGTCTGTATTCATCACAAGTCGCCCCCAACGAGTGTTCTATAGGAGGGTTGCCTAGAAGGGTTTGCTTCAAACGGTCACTTAAGCTTTCTTCAATTATACTAAGCTTTGTAGAAACTTACTTCTCTACGATGGCAATATTCATTCCTTACCCCCCTGGTGTGCACTTGAAAATATGTATTTTGCGGAGAAAACTTCCCTTAAGATGGTGATTTCTAAAATCTGCCACGATAGCATTGAAATAAAAGGCTGAGATCGAATAACGAGAACGGATCACAGCAAAGCTGATAGCTGTATAATGGGTGCTTTGGAACCTCTGAATCGATTTTCAGCCCATAGGAATAGCGAGAATGAGATTTTTAACAAAAATCTAAAAGCAGGAAGCATATGGGTCTTTCTCTTTAAAGCAATAAGAAGGCCTTTTCTATGAATAAAGCCACCGGCAATCGGCAGTTGATGAGCTAAAGTTGCAAATATTCTTATAATTTGAAGGTTGAACCTACCTTGTTATGATAAAGATACTTTTGGGAGTATAAGTAGATGAAAGGAAGGTTCTTTAGCCTAACGCGAATTTCGGTTGAGCTCCTCTTCTAGGGTGTGGTGTGTCTCTTGACGTTTCTTTCATCAAACGGACCAACCATCTATTTTGAGTCGTCTCCAAACGGTTGATGGATTTTATGTTGAAGCGACCGGAGGCGAACAAATAATTATATTTTTTTATATAAATAAATTTTCAGTCATTTTGGCACTGATGAGTGTATAACTGGACACTTATACATATAATCGTTCTACATTCTATTACAAATTGGCCAACTAAACTGGCTTGAAACTCGAGCTCAGCAACAAACAATAACTTACTTGTCTCGTTTCGGTTTATCCTCAGAGTTGTCATCCTTCATAAAAGACGGTTGCAAGCTGAAACGTCGACGTAGATGGCGGCCGCGCATTTTGACGCTGTGAAGTATGTGAAGTGTGTGAAGTGGGTATATGCGCGCACGCGGGGTAGGAGTTAAGAAAGAAGGGTGGTGAGTGCCTGCGTGTTGAAAATTCCAAATGCCAAGAGCGTTCTTTCTTGAACTGCTTACAATAGCGAAGTGTCTACAATACCCCTACAGTTGGGCATAAGCAACACTTGCGCGTTGGATTGTCGTGCTGCTGCTGCTGCTGCTGATGGTAGTGCTGTTGGTTATGTGTCGTTGTCGTGTGCTTGGTTGCAATTCAAGATGTTGCAATAACAAAATTCAGTTTATCCTTCTTGCAACTATTATTTACACGTGTGAGTTAACTTCTTCTTCTTATTTGATTATTTTCTTCTTTTTGTGTGCACTTTTCTTGTGTTAAACTACCAGTGCTGGGAACGGTGCGGCTCAGCTTGTACGGTTTGTGTGTCTTTTATGGCTTTGGCTGATTTTTGGGTTATGCTCAGCGTCAATTTAGCGCTTTATAGGATTTTACACAATTGTTGTTGCACTTGCTTCTTATTTTTTTTTTTTAACTACAACAAATGTTGCTAATGTTTTGTCTCTCTCGTATGTCGCGTCTCGTTGCTATAAATCAAGCAGCTGGCAACTGATGGTTGGTAATACTGCGCTGTAGTGGGACTGCTTGCGCGACGAGCTCTCAACTTTCGCGTTTTGTCACTGTTATATTTTTGTTTTTTTTTTTTGGTTGCCTCTCTCTACTTTCAGGCGTTTGCTGAATAATTTCGTGACAATATTAAATCTGGTCTTGGTTGTGCGCCTTCTTGAAAAGTGCCTTAGTGCTGGGAGAGTAACGGTTTCACGCCGCTCATATATTCATCTGCACCCACGCAATAAACAAAATGAAATCTGCCAGGCGTGTACACAGTACTTTTTTATAACCAAATATTTGTATTCATCACCTTCGCGAGCGTGTGTGGGTGCTGGTATGTGGGAGTCGGGCTTTAAAACTTTTCACGTTTACTTATTTATTCTGAATTTCCTCTTATAATTTTTTATTTCTCGCACCCCATTTTTCGACTTTTTTCCACCAAACTATTTACTTTTTCAGCATATGCTTTCTTATGTATTTCCTATGTGTGTATGTGCAGCGCCCACACTCGCGTCTGGAACAATAGAGTAAAATCGTGTGCCCGACTGGTGGCTGGTTGCTGTTTGCTGGTTGCTGTTTGCTGGTTGCTGTTTGCTGGTTGCTGGTTGCTGGTTGTTGGCTGCTGTTTGTCACATAACGCTCCGCAGCTGTGGCGTATTCACAAATATTTGTTGTCTCTCCCCCCGTACAAAATTGCCAAAAAATTACCAGCAGCTGTTATTGTATCTCTCTTATAAATATATTTTTTATCTTTATTTTATAATTTTGAGAGGGTTTTTTAGGCTTTGCCAGTATTTTAATTGGCGCAAAAGTATTTAGGCAATTTCCATGCGCAAAAATGTTGCAGCGGTTTCCTTCCTCAAATGCGAGTCGTCAACCGCGGCGAGTTCTGCAAGAGGGAAATTATTGCATATAAATATGTAAGCATATATGTATGAGTAAATGTGCTGAAAATGTGGCGAATGCGTAAATATATATACACATAATTAATTCTAGGCATATTTCTATATATTTTGCAGTAAAATTAACATAAATTTATTTTTCAGTTATTTTGAATTTTCATTTTTTTCATGGTTCGGGTTTTCAAATGAACATATTTTATTGTTGTGGTAGATTCCTTGTCGGAAATCAATGATTAAAGATATCCGCTATTTTTTTTAAATTATTTAACCTTTTTAAGCTGACTCAGATCACCGTTTTTTGTTGGAAATTTGAAAGATTAACAACAACATGAGTTTGAATGGTAAAAATCACAGCTTTCATTTCGGAAACCACCACTTTTCCTCAGCAGACTTTTTTTTTCCAGACACCCTCGAAGTGGAACCGAACTTGGGTTGCCCAAAGACATAATTACAATCAAGGACTCTGATATCCTGTGGCTTTATTATAGTAACTATCGATATAGCAAAGGTGTCTTTATAATATCTAACGTTCAGAATGGTGTTGTAAGTTTAGCACTTTCAAAAAAAAAAAAAAATGTATTTCAATAATATAACAGAACAGAAGTAATCAGCTGCTTGAAAAAATACAAAGTGGCCGTGACCGATGGTTTACCGGCCGAGCTATTCAAACACGACGGCGAAGGCGAACTGATCAGGGGCATGCTTTAGCCAGCTCCTTTGCATAATATAGTCGTATAAAAGCATGATCGACGATTGAAACTTAAGTGTGCTTTGCCCAATCCATAAAAAAGGGTAATAAGCCTCCTTAATATCGCATAAAGAGTCCTATCGAGCGTTTTGTGTGAAGGACTGAAGCCCACCGTCAACTAACTGATTGGACGTTATCAGTGTGGCTTCAGACCTGGTAAGTCAACCATCTGGTCTGGTCATTCACCACAAACCAAATCTTGGAAATTACGCATGAAAAGTAGATCGACAAGCACCATTCCTTCGTCGATCTTAAATCAGAAGTAGATAGCGCGAAAAGGAATTGCCTCTAAGTCACTAATCTACTATGTCTAAAATTGGTATCTCCGCAAAACTTAAACGGTTGTGTAAGCTGGCGTTAAGCAACATCAAAAGCTCCGTCAGAATCGGGAGCCTTTCGATACCAAACGAGGTATCAGACAGGGTGATTTTCTATCGTGCGACGTTTTCAACTTACTGCTGGAGAAAATAATACGAGCTGCAGAGCTGAATAGTGAAGGTACATTCCTTTATAAGAATGTACAGCTGTCATGACAGCTTTTGTGGGAGTTAAACATTTCACGCATTTCTTTGCGCATTATTTTTCATACAGACTTCTGTATGAAAGCGTATAAACTTTAATTGGTCTAGAAGGTAAATCCTTGTGACCGTCCGAAGCGATGTCAATGCGGTCAAAAAGGCGAAGATTTTTTAAGGGAATATGAATTCTTTGAACTAAACGTCAGCTTCTCTGATGAAGCTCATTATGTTCAGCGACTAAGCCAAACTTGTCGCATTTGGTGGCTAGAAAACCCAACCGTGGCAAAGACAAAGACTTGTTGAACGGTAGGCATCTAGGGAACTATGTTTACATGACAATGACGATCATTACCGCACTGAATTGGAAAATTATTTATTTTCAAATGTTGAGGAAAATGACATGATCGACTTGGGCTTCCAACAGGATAGCGTTACGTGCCACACAGCCGATGTTATAATTGATTTTTTGCGCACTGTAGTCGGAAATCACTCAACTTAGTGAAACGGCGAAGCTATTTGGCTACTCCGAGTTGCGATTTGACCCAGTCGGACATTGTTTTGTGGAACTTTGCTAAGGATAAGTGCTGTGACACCAACTAAAAATTCGAAATTGACTTATTAACTTATCGAGTCTGGTTCTGATGCGCTAAATCTTCTCTGAGCATATGCTCCTACAAGGCACAAACGCCACCTACATATACGTATATACTTAAGTATATATTTATTCTTAAAATGAGTACACAATAAATTTTATGGTTACATATATATAAATATATGTGTATATGCCACAGTTTATTTTTCGAAGTTAGGCGAGTTTAACATAGCGTTAATGTATTTACTTTTAAATATCAGAAAGCTACATGCACGTTTTTTTTGTTAGCATTTAATTTAATTTAGGATTTACATTTTGTTTATGCAATGAAATGGTTTGACAGAATGAGCACATATTGAAATTACGAATAAGAAAATGTGATTTTCAGTTAAAACGTTTGGGGAAAAACATAAAAATCAAATTTATATTTAAATATGTTAAATAAACATGCAATTTTTTATGGTAATTTAAGTAAAAAAAATGTATAGCTACGCTTTAAATGTGTTGTAAGTGCTTATAAATCAGCTTAGAGTGGAGTTTGATTGTTGAACACCGTGTCGTATGCGCAACATTTTACGTATCATATGAACTACCAAAAAAGGCATTCGTGCTCAATTTTTGAGGTAACTATTCCAAATTTAAATCAAAAGGCACCAAATAGTCACACGTTTGAGATTCAGAGGCTTAATAGCAATAAATCTTGTGCTTTTCGTGCCCCGGATGCGACAGTTTAGCTTATTGCCGTAGCCATTGAGGTGGAAAAACTAATGATGCCTAGTTATGATGATTTTTCGATGAAATTCCAGGTCATTTTCATGCATTTGTAGAACCCAATCGGCAAAGAAACGACGTTGTCCGGCTCAAGTTCTTATGTTAACTGATCTTTATAACCCTTAAGATCGATGTGTTTATGCAAAAGACGGCTTGTGGAAAACGCGGAATATTGAGGCTCGAGTACTGGTCCAATAAATTAGATAAATTAATTTAAATTAAAAATTAAGTTAATTATCGCAATTGCGTTCGCCCCTCGCCAGTGAATGTCAAGCCCTCCGAGTGTATTTTTAACATGAAATAAAGTCTCCTCACAAAAAACAAATAAGTAAAAAATGTAGATCGCTCCATTTGTTGGAAAAAACATCAAAACGCATAACCAAAAGTTGGAGAAAGAGCTCGGCTCGCTTTCAGAAATACCCGTGGAGTGGTTGACATTCCCTGCCGAAGGACGACCGCAATTAGAAAATTTAACTTAATTTATTATTATTTAAATAAATTTTCTATAACTTTTTGGATGCTAGTATGACCCGAGGATTTGAACCAGATTTTTCCGAATGAGAGTACGCAATGCTAGCCACTCGGCTTCCGCGGCCGCCTCAACGGTTACAAAGCGCCTATAATATATCATATAGTCATCTCCAACCATCTGTTCAGAAATGAGATTAATATTTTATTACAAAATAAAAAAACCACAATCTTTATATGACCATAAAGGGTATAAAGTCCTCGGCATGACCAAAGAATGTTTTTGTTTCTTGTTGTTATTTAAAAATTCCCCTCCTGTGCGTATACGTAACTCAAAAAAATTTACTTGCGATATATAATATATGATATTATTATACGTTATCCAAGTTACTAATTCTCTTTTAAAATATCCGTCTTACTTTTCTGTATATTTACTTATATATATTTGTATATTTTTTCGACAGACTTGCTTCCCCAATTTATGGTATGCCTCCGAAAAGCCGGTGAATTTTTATGTGGAGCTTTTATTTCAGGTCAGAAATACATTCGGAGTATTTGATGTTATCCTAAATAATAGAGTGTATGCAAATTTGAGCCATAATTAATTTTATGTAACTCAAAATATCGAAAGTCTGTGTTCAAATTATTCACTGATTCATCGCCTATATGAATTTTCTTTGCCATCAACCTGCACGTAATCTTCAAATTATCACTTAATTATTGCACGTAACCGAACTATACTCACTCTCAGTTTGAATCGGCAACAGAATTGCATTACAGGCAATTTAAGGCATTAATAACTTTATTGACAGATTTGCATATATAAATTGCTACAAGCGTGAAACGGTTTCGATTTAAGTGCGTGAGTATAATTTTCGCGCTTTTTATTGAAAAAAGGACTTTTAAAAACTTGCAAATGAATTAATTAAAAAAAATGTATGTGTGTGCGCGTAAAATGGATGGTACTTAAAACCATTAGAGTGCTATGACGACGACTTTTCGTCGCCAATGCACAGCACTTCTGTACATATACACAAACAAGTGGTGAAGTAATTTAAATTGACTGTATTTACACGGACTACTTAAAATATATGTATGCATATAAATGCAGGGAATATGACACAAGAACTTGCATAATTTTCTTCGTATGTATGCACATTTTCTGTTGCTTTGTATATATGTGCGCCGTGGTGTTACTTCTTCCTGTAAGTAATGCCAACACAGAGTCCTTGCTAAAGTGCCGTTACGCTTACGTGACCCAGATATTGTGCTGAACTTTATGCAAACTTTGACTTTTCAACCTCAATTCTTAAAACCACAAATTTGTTGGTTGGTTTGCAATAAGCGGAAAATATATACATACGCTTATGTGTGTATGTATGTGTGTGTGTCCGAATGTTGTGGATGTCGAATGAAATTTTGCGTGGAAAACGCGCAAGGAAATCTAAAGTCGAGATGCGAAGTAAAGTAGTGAAATATTTGCTTACACATACTTGAATGTATGTATGTACAAGTAAGTAAGAAAACCACAATTTACAGCAAATTTGGTAAACAATTAAATGTATGTGCATATGTACATATAAAGTTAGGGTTGAGTGATGCAGAGCAATAGGAAAACTGGTTATTTATTTTTTTTTAAATACATGAGTTTTGGCGGCTTTTGCTTTTTTTATTTATTTTAGTTTTACTTTTAATATTTGAATGCATAAATGTTATTTAATTTCATAGAAATTCAAAAATTATTTAATTTTTTAGTACACGTCAGTTCCATACTCTTCATAGCTACAAGTAAATAAATATAATTGGCGCTTTTCGGCCGAGCTCCTCCTCCAATTTGTGTTTTGGCATCTTGATATTTTTCCAGCAAAATGGAAGGACTTACAGTTTATA